AATATTAATTAAGCTCGTTAAAATAGTCATTTGATATTATTATTATTGAGAAAATTTGAATGTGAAAAAGAATGAGGTGAGTAGTGAGTGCTGATGGAAGGAACGTTGAAACGACCGACAATTGAAACGCAAAAGAGACGGCGCAATGAAGTAAGTGGCAGTGATGAGCAGCAGCAATGTTCTTGAAGTGAGATGAAGCAGAAACAAATTCTTTTGAATTATTTCTTTGTTAAACTCAACGAAAAAAAACTGAAAAAAAAAGAAAAAAAAAACAGAACAAAGTATGAATTATTAAAAAGGACATTTCAACAAAGCAGCTTCAATAATATCTTTTATTCAATGAATTTCAAAACTTACTGGCGAATAAGTGCGCTAAGTTCACATATTTCGATGGCCATATCATGAATTAAGTGTGGACTGTACAGTGAAAAATATCTGTTCGTATCATTTGTTCAAGAATTCTAGCGAAGTAATGAGATTTTTTTGAAACTCACTCCAATTCTCAAAGCAACCGAAGTGTGGCAGTTGAGTGAGAACTGCAACGGCAATAGTTCGTTTTGCAGGCCTCCACCCATTAGATAAGAAAATGGGAATTCTCATTTTTAGTTCAAAGAGATAGAATAGGACATTTTGAAGTGACCAGTGAATGCTGAAGAAAGAAAGCTGGTTGATGAGATGAACTGATTTTTAAAAAAAACGAACATTCAAGTACAACAATAACTTCGTTATGACTAAGGATGTATTGTTGCAAAAGATTTTCGATTTGCAAAAACTCAAAAATGTTGACGCTATTCAAAGAAATCCGTTGGAAGGCATCAAAAAACTGCACGCAAGCAGGTTTACTTCACAAATTTTAACGTGCCAATGATGAACGTGTGGAATGTGTAGTGAGAGATATCTGGAGACTTTATTTATTCAATAATTATCCTGGCGGATTCTCAACAGTGCATTTGATCGCTGATCCGTTTCGAAAGGTTTGTTTACTGAGGATTTTCCGAGATTACGAACGGACAAAGCACTGGGAATATAGAGCTCGTGATAGAGAGAGTACAAAGCGTTTTGTTGTTGGTGTGAACATGAACTGAGAAAATTTCGCGATCGGAACGCAAATGAAGATCAATCAGATCATCACAAGAGCAGATAAACTATCATAAGATGTGATCACTTCGGAGATAAGTTTTTTGCTAAAATCATTTCATGTGATCCGTTGTATGCGCAGTGAAATAGACAATCAATCCAGTTGGCAATATCTAGAGTGGATAAACGATGAAAGACGATAAATAAATAAAGTGAATCAGAAATTTTTCAAATAATCTGATCAAATTCGAGAATGAGGATCGTTGAGGAATGCTAGCAATGCTAGCAGTTGAAATTCGAAACTGCTGCTGTGGCCAGTCCAAGCTGCTCTATCAGTGTAGAGAGTCTCTATCGGATGTTGACATAATTGCAAGCAAGAGGAGAGGAAGGAAACGACGACTCTCAAGAATGCATAAACAAACACGCAACAACCAACACAACACATAATCATCGCAGACGGGGACCGACGGACGCACGGACATGTGGTTAAATAGATTTTACGGATTTGCGAATGGGATGAGTGAATAATATGTAATGGGGTGATGAGGATGATAGATCGAAATGAATCAATTAGACATGCAGCAGATAAATCATCAAATAGGCCTGATTCTTAAGAATTACTTCAAGGAAATGAAAGTTTTGTGAAGGAGATAAGTTTTGACGATGATTACATGACATAGAACACATAATCGCACCATTATGACAGCATTAGATCTTCTGTCTAAAACAATGAGCTGCATGGATATATTGCCTGGTGACGATCAAGCAATAATCACCTCGTGAAATGCTGCTGCTGCAGCAGCCAAAAAAAAAACAACTGCGAAACGAGGAATTCTATTGAGGATAATTGAACAACGAAGCCACAAAATATGAAAACAAAGTAAGGCAGAACGGATAAGACAAGACATTCATCGGTTGTGTAATAAAAAACACAATAGGGCTGAAATGAGCTGCTAGCTGAGTTAGATATTACACAGCTTGTCATTCATTCAGCTTCATATTGTTGTGGTTTCGTCCCATTTCTTATCGCTTCCGAGCAATATTGATAAAATACACTACTAATAATAGGAATAATTACAGACGCACGCCTTGTCCTATTTTTTTGGGGTTCATGCAAACATTTGAGGAGCTTACGTCACCACTATTTATTCAAGCAATCATTCAGCACATCCCTTCTTGCGTTCTGACAATCTTGTCGTTATCATGAACTCCTTAGGCACTGATGAAATCAGTCTGTCGCCTGTCTCACCATAGATATCCTTACACTTTGTTCCATCAAAGGACATTGCTAAAAAAATCGACAGTAGGAAAGATTAAGCGTTCAGAAGGCTCGTTGCACTTATAAACCATAACTTAAGTCCAAATTAATCGCTGTGTCTGAAAACATATTCTAGACGATAGAACATGACCATGTTTCTTCATCCTTTCTAGACAATTGAATAAATTATAGATCGCATGTGAGTCGTTGTGTTTATTATGTGTCAAATGCACACATAAATATCGAAGTATTACATGCAGATAGGAATACTAGGGCTGTGTACGAGATTATAATTTGATATGACCTCAACCCAACATCGCTCAATCAATTTCTCATCGCGTTTACTTATTGTTTATTGCCTATAACCGTTATCTCGTGTCATGCACACAACTTCCCTATAATTTGATTAGTTGTTCATTCGATTACACACTAATAATCGTTATCATACTCAATTATGATTGCACTTTATAGGTTTGTCTTATCAGTGAAAGGCAGCACTACAATGAGGACATGAACTAAATGAACTAACCGCAGCTCATTAAAATAATCTCAAAAAACATTCTCGACAGCATTT